GGTTTAGGCCCTCGGACAGTGCCCGCACGCTGTGGTAGCTGTACTGCCCTCAGCGACAGGTACTGACGTCCCATGGCCACCGACCCGCACAGCCTGCCTCTGCTCCTCGCCCCCATGCACCGTGGCCCCTCCTCACCCTGGCATCGGGGTTGTGCTGCCCACCTGCCCTGCCTGATTCAGTCAAGTGGCTCTTGACTCCATGGCCCTGGGTGGGCACAGCGTCCCCCAGCTGACTGGAATCTCCACACAGACCCCAGCCCCACAGCCCAGCTCCTGCTGTCACCCACAGTCAGGAAACCACCACCCTAGACCCCTGTGGGTGCCTGCACCCCCACACCGGGCTCAGGGAGCTCAAAAGGGCTGCAGCTCGGAGCACAGGGCTTCCCTGCCAAGGGAGCCTGGCCTTAGAGGCACAGCCCTGCATGCCCGCTCACGCAGAGAGGTGTGTGTGGACAAGCTAACAGATGCTTGGGGGCAGCTGTGTACGTGGGCACAGGGATGTCTGAGCAGGTGCCACAGAGATGTGTGTGGACAAGTGTGAGGACGAGTACAGGTGAACAGGTGTATGCATTCAGCTCACGTGGACAGGTGTGCGGCAGACTGTGTGAAGGTTCGTGTGGACAGGTGCATGTGGACCTGCGCACAGCTCCTCCTGGCCCTCCCCCTACAGCGGATGACCAGACTGGCTGGCTGCCTGCCTGCCCCCCCTGCCCCCCCGCATTGGCCGCTGCGCTCAGGGCTGTGGCCCTCTGTCCTCTGCCTCGGGCCTCCAGCCTGCAGGCCCACCTTAGAGTCCTACCCCAGACAGACGTGTGAGACTTTAGCACACACCTGCCCTGCACGGGGCCCTCCTGTATATATGTGCACACACACATGCACCCCCCCCACCCCCACACAGTCTCTGTGAACCCCTGTGCTGCACTTCCACGTGCACACAGAGACTCAGGCTCCCACGCACGCACACCTCCTGTAGGTGCCGTCACACACGTCAGGACACTCAGACCCATGCGTGGACACGCACAGCTGCTCCTGCTCACACCCTTATCACACTCAGCCCAGTGCGTGGGTACACTCACATGTGCACACACACGTGTGTGTGTGTACAGTGGTCTGACGAGGGTGGTGGGGATGGGTTGGCTGGTCCGGGTGGGGGTAGGGGACAGGGGCTCCCACCACCTGACCACCTGTGCCCACTAGAGAGGCCGACAGCATTGCCACAGCTCCGGGCGCTGCCTTGCAGGGGCTGCCGCATGGCCACGGGCAGGTGCCCCAGGCAGGCCTCTCTCGAGCTAGGTGGGTCTTCCTACCCTCCAGATGGCTCCCTTCCTGAGACTCCTCGCCCTGGCCTGGCTGTGCCCAGCCATGGGTGCTTGGAGAACCTGAGAGCTCCTGCCTTCCAGGGTGGTCAGAGACAGGGGGCTCACCAGGACAGGAAGTGGGTGCCCCCAGTCCTGAGCCTGGCAGACTCATACCACCCACCCACAGACAGTCCTCTCCGGGAGCCAGACCCTGGGCCAGCAGCCCCTGCACTATAGCCCCCATCTGTGCTGCTGTATCCTGCCTCCCAGGACCCAGGACCACGGCGAGGTGGCCGCTGGCCAGCCCTCAGACCTGCTGACCCCTGACCATGTCCCTCTCTCCCTCAGTACACATCCAGCATGAGAGCTAAGTACCTGGCGACAAGTCAGCCTCGCCCCGATTCCAGCAGCAGCGGGCACTAGGCCGTGCCCCCAGCACCGCCCCCATGTGCCAATCCCACGCCGCCCTTCACCAGGAGGGCCGCTGGAGCCCTGCCTGCCTTCCCGCAGGGCACAGACGCCACCAGCTGCTGGGGCCACCGCTGCGCCCATGTCTGGCCCCACACGGCGGCATGCCTGCCTGCCCCAGGCCTTCCAAGCTGGCTCCATGCCGGGCTCTGTCCCTGGCACCCCCGCACACTGTCCACCTGGCTGCCGCACTCGCCACCCCGCGCCTGCTGGACCCCAGGCTGTCCTGCCTGTGGCCACACCCCCTCAGCCTCTCCCAGCCCCGAGCTTGCTCCTGGGCCCAGGTCCTCAGGGGTGCAGGCCGGAGCACACCACTTCTCCATCCTCCCACGTGAGGATACTCCTGCCATCTCCACCTGGCAGCTGGCCAGGGGCTTCTGGGTCAAGGGTTGTGCCCCCTCCCATGGCGGCCGACCTTCCCCTCTCTCTGAGCCCCTGCCAGGCTGCCCACTGCTCCCCTCTTTCCCACAGCCGTCTCTCTCCCAAGGACCCGCCTGACTGCTTGACTCCCAGCCCCCTGAGCTGGGGGACCCAGCCTCTGTTCTTGGTGCCAAATCCCCACCCTGCCCTGCCTGTCCCACGCCCAGTGGACAGGTCTTCTGCACTAACCAAGCTGTCGTTTCTAGGCGGGGGGCCGAGAGCCGGCCACCCATCTCCCTCTCGGTTCCATCTTCATGCAGGACCGGTGGACACGGTGCCTGGGAGTGCTCTCTGGGGTGGCACCGAGCTGGCCATGATGTCCCTTCAGCCCGGCCACCCCTCCCAGTACTAACCACTAACCTCACTCCCAGCACAGTGGACACCAGGTCAGGGGACTGTGTTGTCCAGACCGGAGCAGAGGCCGGTGCGAGCCAGGGCAAAGACCCACATCCCCACAGGTGCAAGGGGAGGGCGGAGACCCCTCCCCCTCCCCAGGCAGGGCCCGCTGCGGAGGCCCAGGTCCCTGGGTGGGCGGCCCTGCCTGGCCCAGTCTTCCTTCCCGTGAAGTGCGAACACGCTTCCGACGGTGCTCCCGGCTTTAGCGTGCACTGTTTGCTCCGCTCTCCAAGGCCGCACCAGCCCGGCCTGGGTGTGTGTGGGGGTCCCCACCACCCTACTGGTTGGCCAGGGCAACCCCCCATGCCCAGGGGTGGGCCCAGGTTTACAGAGCCACCCTCTGTCCAGAAGCGACCTCTGCCGCCAAGCCTCCACAATCCCCTCTTCTCCTGTGCTGGTGTCTGGGACCAAACGAGGGAGGGGGGTACTTGGTCCCCTCCAGGGGACAGCTATGCCCTGCATGAGGAGGGGTCAGGCCTGCGGTGGTGGACTCTGCCCTGCGCCCCCGCGGACCGCCTGGACGAGACCCTGGGGAGTCGGAGTTAGCCCCGAGACCTTGCCCAGCCCCGGCTGCCCGCCGGCCGTAGGGTGGCGAGGCTGGACAGCGGGCCTCCGCCCAGAAGCACAAGCAGCCGCCTTGCCCACTGGACTGCACGTCAGGTTGTGGCTGGGGGTCCCCGGGCGGCGCCGCCACCGGCAGTTCTGGTTCCCAAGAGATTATGGTGGGGAAAGGAAATCTGAATTCAGACCCGACCCTCAGCCCTGTGATGCGTAGGGGGTGGGGGGACATGTCCACGTGTGTGTTCTGTGCCCCAGTGCCCTGAGTCCATGTCACCTCGCACCTGGGGTCCTCACGACAGCGATGCCCATGTCCCCCACCATCTCCCTCCCTGCACCAGGGACCTCCCCCCTCGCAGGTGGGCCAGACAAGAAGGTGGGGTGTGGCAGGGGCATGGCCACTGGCAGGGAGGGGCTCCTTGGCCCCGCCCCCGGCCCTGCTGAGGCCAGGCTGTTAGTGAAGTGACCCCGGCCATTCGCCCCTGACCCCACCATCTCACTATGCAACGTCATCCCGTACCCATCTCCACCCTCCCTCGGGCTGCCCATCCCCTCCCGCCCAGGAGCTGAGGCTGCCGGGTCCAGCGGAGAGGGAGGACGGGCCTTGTGGGTGTGCTTCTCTCGGTGTTTGGCCGTCACCCATGTTTGTTACATATGTATGATTTGTCCGACTCCTGAGCCTGGTTCACACATACCCCACCCCACACCCTGCATCGAACCCCCCCTCCCCATCCGCCATCGTAATCCGTTACCGAGGCCCAGAACATCTGCCTCTGCCCCTCCAGCCACGGCTGAGGATTCTGTCTCTGTGTTTCTGGGTTTATTTTGACTTTTTTTTAAATCTTATTTTTAACTGGTTTGGGGGTTAGGGGCTTTAATTTTCTGGGTGAGTACTAAACTCGCCGATGGAATTTCTGTGGTTTCTATTCAGCTTGGGTTGAATGTTTTCAAATAAACACATTTGGAAAACTGGCCTCTGCTCCCTGGTGGGTTTGAGCCTTGCTCACAGAGGGAGGCTGGCAGCCACCTGACTGCCCACCAGGGTCACAGGCGAACAGCTGGGGTTCAGGGTAGCAGGTGCAGAGGGGTGCCCGAGGGGGCAGGGTCTGGAGGGCCAGAGACAGTTGGTGGTTGGACACTGCCCAAATGCCACCTTGCACCCCATAGGCCATGCAGCAGGGGGTGGGTACAGCCAGCTTCAGCCCCCACGGTGGAAATGCCCCCTCCTTGCAGGCCCTCCACCCAAGTGGGTTCTGGGTACCTCCTGGTGCAGCTCCCTTTGGTACTGGCTGCCTTCTGGCACTGTTTGCTGTGTTTGCCTCCAGGTGGGGGGGTGGAGATTTGGTCAGGTGGGGTTGGGGAACCTCTGGATCTTTGGGGAGGGAGCAGGAGGTGGGGTGAAGTCAGGAGGGGGTGTGTGAAGCTGATAGGGGCAGTGCTGCCTAATTAGACACCGTGGGGTGCCCACCAGGCCACCTGGGTGGGGGCTGGGGACACTCAAATCACCAGGAAGGAATGCAGGCAGGGCAGAGTGGGGTTAGCTCAGGGATCCTGGCCTCACATATTGAGACCAGGTTGGGGGTGGTGGTGGGAACAGCTAGGTAGGAAAGAAAGGGCAGCATGGTCTAGCAGGGTCCAAACCCAGGATCCTGACCCTGCATAGCAGAGAGCAACCCCGTGGGGTCCCTAAGGCTGCCCCTCTTCATAGAAGCAGGACCCTCTTTCTTCCCAAGGGGCAGCCTGAGGCTTCCCACGCCCAAGTGCGGGGACCACCGCCCACCTGGAACCCTGAGCAGGGCCAATGTGGCTTCTACTGTGGCTCACAGCCCTGCAGGGCGGAGAACTGTCCCCGTGGGTCTTCATGAGAGCAGGCCATCCCAGCTGCTGGATTCGAATCACCAAGTCTGTAGACCGCCACAGCCAACACAGCCCACGGCACCACTGGGGCACATCCCTAGGAGTGACCAAACCTTGTAGCCCTGCCCCCTTGGGCTTCCGAGTGGGTAACTGTAACCACCAGCCCAATACCTCCCCCACAGCAGCACCAGGCTCTTCTGGGCTGGGAGCACAGTGCGAGCTGGTCCTTGGGCCATGGCGGGGCTGCCGCAAGTCTGTTCTCAGCCAGTGGCTGGTATTGTGTGGCCACCGGGGACCATGGTGCTGTGGAGAGGACAGTCACTCCCAGACGAGGTAGGGGGGGCAGGGTGAAATTTCATCAGCCCAGGAGCCCAAGTGGAGCAAGCAAACCGCCCACACACGGACCCTGGAGGTCCCAGACCACGCACAGGTGTCTGCAGAAAGACCCGGCGACACAGTTCCAACTCGGACGCACGCACACGTGATCTGGGCAACCAGATGGCAGGCGGTCGGGGGCTGGGATCCAGTACACTAAATTCAGGGTGATAACTTGCAGGAGAGAAGGGGTGACCGCCGGCCGGCCCCGCTGATGAGGGGTAAGGTCGGGTTAAGGGATGGGACCACTACGCGTTGCCACCAGGTGGAGCCCAAGGACCGTCACGGAGAGGATGAAGTCTGGAGGCTTGGCTGGGACGCGGCACATGCGAGAGCCCCAAACGCCACGTGGGAACACCATCCAGGGCACCTCCAAGGGCTGAGATGGGGCACCCCCGGGCTCAGGTGCACCCCTAAGGGTGCATGAGTGCCTTCTGTCTAGCCTGGCTCAGGAAATGGGGCTGGGCCCCTGCCACTAACCTCTGGAGTGGGTGGGGGAGGCCAGCCTGGGTCGCAGCAGGGGCCCGGAGGCTAGCCCGCTCTGTGCCCACGTGGACAGCCTCCGGTGCTCACCAGTACTGCAGACACCCCTCTGCCCGGACCCTGATGACTGCAGCCCCTGCTGCCTTGACTCCATCTTGACAAAGTGGCCGGCTTGCCCTGGACAGGGGAAGTGGGCCATACTTTGCCCCGGTTGTTCCCGGGGTTGCGGGGGGCCCTGCTGCCCTCTGCGAGGAGTACCTGTTTGTTTTCACCTGTGGTTTTTCTGAGAGCCTCACAGACAGCTGGCAGTTGGGGTGTGAATGACTGGTTGGGCCCAGAGTGGACACAGCTGCCCAGAATGGGTGTCAGAGATGGTGGTGGGTTAGGGTGGGGGCTGGCGCTGGGGCTTCCATTAGGCCCTGCCTCTAACTCACCCACTCTCCTTCCTTGGGGAGCAGAGGTAGGGGGCTGTGGGCGGGGCTCCCGTCCGGCCCCGCCTCTCCTCACACTTCCCTTCAAGGGCTGATGTGGAGGTCGGTAGGTTGTGGGCGGGGCTCTGGTCAGGCCCCGCCTCCTCCCCTCCCTGGGCAGAGGAGGGGGCTGGCAGGCTATGGGCGGGGCTCCATTAGGCCCCACTTCCCCTTCTGGGTCTGAGAAACCGCAGCTTCTTCCTTGGAAGAGGAGCGGGCTGGGATCCCCTGGTCAGAGCACGCTCCTTGGTCCACTGCTCAGCTGGAAAGGTCACAGCTTCCAAGGCCCATGTTTTTCCAAACCTCGGAGCATGGGGCAGCCCAGCGTGCTGCCGCCCCACAGACACAGGCAGGAAGCAGCCTCCCCACCCCAGGGCCCCAGGCCTCTGCCCACCCCCACCCCCCGGGGTCTCGTGCCCTCTGACTCAGCACAGACAGGAAGCCCTCTGCCCCTGCCCACTGGGGAGCTGCTTACCAGAGACTTCCCCTCCCTGGTTTCCACTTATCAGCAGACTGTGGAGGGCGCACCCACTGGTGACCTCTAGGCTGCCCCCACCCCCACCCCTGCGAATGAAGGGCACCTGGTCACACAGACCCTCCTGGCCAGGGAAAGGCCTTCCCCGCTGCCCCTGCCGGTCACTGCCTGCCCTGGGCCACTGCATGAGGGGATGAAGAGATAGGTGGCTCGGTTGGCACTGCCTCCAGCAGCCCAGGGGGTGAGCTGGGCAGATGTCACACTTTCCAACGCCTTGCCTTGTCTGCTTTCCGGCGTACTGACTCGTCCAGTTTGGGGAAGAGTGTGGGGGTTGGGGGGTACAGAGGCAAAAGACTGACTCCCTAAGATGAGGAGGACTTCAGTTGGCCCTGGGGGGATGGCAGCCCAGGCCCAGGGCAGGGCTCTGCCGTTTCTGAACTTCTGAGCAAACATTCTACTTGAAGCATCTTAAAAAGGGGGGAGGCCCGTGGAACAGAATTTCAAGTTCTCATGGCATCTTGACTTGTGGAGCCACGGAGGCTGGATGAAGCCCTGAGCTCACCTTTAAACCTTACATTGAAACCATCTTTAAACCGTAGTCTAGCTCACCAAACTCAGTCTTCGAGGCGAGGCCGGCTCACAGGAGCCTCGTAGGACAGGGTAGACCTGTGCCTGCGGGTTTCTGAGACTCTGCCTCCTCCTTTTCCCTGGGTGCTCCTTGGTCACAAGGTTTCAGGTTCAAGGTGGTGGCTTTGAACTGCTGACCTTGCAACTAGGAGCCCCCCTGTCCCCCCGGGTTAGAACCATAGTCCAGTCTAAGGAGAAAACTCACTGTGCTCTTTGGGAGGGATGCCTGCTGTGTGAGCAGATTGACAAGGGCAGTGGGGCGGATGGGATGCTGGGGGGCGGGGGCGTTGTGTTTGGGTTCATATTGGTAAAACCCAAACCCACCCGCCCCACTGCCAGTCTGGCTCACAGCAGCCCTGAGGACGGAGCAGCACTGCCCCTGAGGGTTCCCCGGCTGTCCATCAATCTTTAGGGGAGCAGAGGGCCTCCTCAGTCTCCACAGACTGTCGCCTTACAGAACCAGAGAGGTCGGAAGGAGAAAAACGGAGGGTCGCAGGCTTTCTGAGGGGGTAACTCTTTAGGAGGGCACGCGCCTTGTCTTGATCTCAGAGGGCGGCTGGGGCGCCCAGCAGGGGAGTCCCCTTCCGTACCCTACTTCCTGGCAGCGTGTGGCTCTCCCCACTTCCTCATGAGCTGTTTGTTCAGTCAGAAGGTGCTTCCTCAAACTGAGCCCAGACGTCAATTGGGGGGGGGGGGGACTGGAGAAGACGCAGCAGCACTCAGGCTTCTGGGGGTGCAGTGCAATTCCTGCCCACCCCTGCCCCCCAGTCATCCAGTTGGGCCTCCTCTCCTGCTCAGAATGCTTCATCGGCTGGCTCCGGGACCCATTCTTTGACACACAAGAGGGACTTGAATGCTCTCCTGCCCTGGACCGGGGAGGGCCGGGCCGGCTGAGCGGGGTGCCCCCCTCCCAGTCTATGGCTCGGCTTCCCCACCCCCGCCCCCTGTGAGGTCAGGGGAGGGGTGGGCTCTAGGTCAGGCCTTGTACCCACTGCAAAACAGGAGCTGGGGCCCTCTCACAGCCAGGCCACTGCTCCCTGGGACCGCCAGGCAGAGCCCCTGGGGCGCTACTCTGTCCTCTGGGGTGGGGTGGGGACAGCTATGAGGTGCATGGACTCCACTCGGTGGGTGTGGGTTTTATTTTGACCCCAGGTGGTCCCTGGGTGGTGCAGGGGGAACACCCACTGGGCTGCTCACCCTAGGCCACTGTACAAGAAAGGCCTGGTGATCAAACCAGCCCCAGCCCCACCCGCTGCCCGACACTCAGGACCCTTCCCTGTAGACAGCACTGGGGTCACGGAGCGACAATTTGGTTGTTTTTATTCTTCCTCCTCATGTTGATACCAGCTGGCTTGTAGGGCTCCGCGCAGCCCTGCTCAGGCCCGTGCGCAGAAAAGGCGGTCTCCCCTCACCCCATGGGCCTTCAGCTCCCAGCACCTCCAGCCCTGGATCCCCTGGGGCCTAGGGGTCCAGCCCCACCTCCAGCCAAGATCAGGACTCGGAGAGGCTGCCAAAAAGCACTTTTATTCCAAGCAAAAGACGTCCCCATAGCAATGACATGTCCCTTCCCCGAGACCCTCCTCTCGGTTGAGTTCCTAGCTATGGCTTTGTCAAAAGAGAGAGAACAAAGCCCCGCCCCCAATGGCTAGGCGAGCCCCGGGGTGAGGTGGGGGTTGGGGGACAGAGACAGTGTAGGGGATACAGTCAGAACATTCCAGATACTGGAACATATAAATACACAGAACACAGAAGCAATCACTCCGGCTGCAGACGGGACGGGCACATGCAGGGTGAACTTCTGCTTTTTCTGATCCACAGAAAATATAAAATCACACACACACCCTCCCCCCACAAGAAGACAAACTTACCCCACCTCTACCCACCCCACCCCCTCCCACACACAGCACAGTAGAAAACACTGTCACGTATTCACAGACACACCCACTGTGGGTGACTCTCTACTTGAGAGAGAGGATAAACTGCCCCCCGGCCCCCCCAAGGGGTGGGGAGACAAAGAGAGACCAGGAACTGACCTGGCTGCCTCCCAGAGCCAGGAGGAAGGTCCAGGCCACAGCCCCCAACCCAGCGGCCCTGGCCTGAGGGTGGCTCTGCGGTCCCCAAGCAGGGAGGGCGGGGTCAGATGTCCAGCAGAGAGAAACCAGCAGGGCGCAAACGTGTGACACACAGACGTGCCCGCGGGCAGGGACAGAGAAAGGGTGGGGCGGGGTGTGGGTGCGAGTGTGTCGGTCCTCCTCAAAGCAGAGCTGCCCAGCAGACTGCTCCAAGGACGGGCACACACGCACACGCATGACTCGCACACGCATGGCTCACTGCTCCTAGGAGCCTCGGACGCCGAGGCCGGGGCAGCGCCTCTGGACAGGGGTCCCCGAGCCCTTTGGATACCAGGGGCGCCCGGGGACGGGGTCTGGGCCGTGGCCTCTAGAAGCGGGCAGGATGGGGACACCAGGGTGTGTCCGGGTACAGGTGGCAGTGAAGCGAGCGGAACCTGTGCAGAAAGAAGCGGATGGTGGTCAGTGTGGGGCAGGGTGCGGAGACCCCAGAGCAGGGCGCCCCCCTGTCCCTCCCTTCCCGGCCGCAGTTTCCACACCTGGACGGGTCTGCCTCTACGGAGAAGGCCCCCTTCATGTGGATGGTGTTCCGCTTGTTCTCAAACATGCCGTAGCTCAGTGTCACCTGGGGAGTGGGGATGGAGGCCCTGGTTGCGTGGCGGCGCGCAAGTGCAGAGTCTGCAGCTCATGGCCCCTCCCAGAGCTGCTCCAGTCACCAGACCCGCCCGCCCCGCCCGCTGCCCTCAAGTCAACCTGGCCGCTCCCACCTGCTAGGCTGCACCTGGACAGAGTCCAAAGTGTGGACTGCAGCTGGGGTGGGGCAGGGCACCTTCTCAGGGACAGCGGGAACCCCACGGTCCCCAGGAGTCGGGACAGGAGGGCCCTCCCCACGCACTTCTCCCACTCACAACCCCTCTGAGCCACCACCCCGGGGACAGGCTTACCTGCTCGTGCAGCTCGGAGGCAGGCACCTGCTGCAGGTTCTCCAGGTGGGAGTGGAAGAGGCCGCTGCGGGTGAGGGGCACCCCCAGCAGTGCCTGCACGATATAGCCCACGGTGCAGTCATCTGGCAGGCGGATCCGTTCGGCCGTGTCCAGGAAGTGGCCTCCGCTACCAAGGGAGGGAGGGAGGGGACCCGGTCAGCAGGGCCTTTAGGCTGACCAGCAGACATCCCAGCCGCCCGCAGCCACGTGTCCCCTCCTCCTGCACCTGGTGAATCTGGAGGCTGCAAGGGCCCTGCTCGTGGCCTGGGGAGCTGTTCCGAGGACCCAGGGGGCAGGTGGACAGGACAGGGGGTACATGAAGTGGGGGGCCGTCCTCTATAGAGAGAGGGACCCTGAGACTGGGGGGCACTCACCTGGCCCATGGGCTCATCTTCATGGCTAGCCCACGGCTGATACAGAATCCGGCGCCCCCGGTAGCAAACCAGAAGTGGACAGGACGCTGGGGGGGGCAGGTGGAGAGGTGCAGGTCCACACTGTTAAAGCCGCGGGCCCCTCCCCAGGCAACAGAGGCACCGCCAGCCCTCCCTCTGCCCTGGACAGGCTGCAGGACCACGCGGGCAAGGGCGTCTGGCACTCACCACCTGGCCCTGGCCTATGCGTTCCGTGGCCTGGATGGGCCGGTCCAGGCTAGGCTTCCCGAGGTAGACATCCTGCATGTGGGGGTAGCTGGCCAGCAGCCGCAACAGTGCCCGCACATTCACATAGTTGTCATCGTCCACATGGCAGAACCACCTGCAGGGGGTGGGGGCGTAGGTCTGTGTGGGAGTGGGCCCGTGTGACACACATGTGCGCGTGTGAACGTGGCTGCACAGGTGCAATCCCGCTACGATGTGCACACTACGATGTGCACGTGCACAAGTCTGCGTGTGTGTAACTGCCGGTGCATCTGAGTGCACGTGGGAGCGCAAGCTGTGTGCGTTCATGTGTCCACGAGCTTGTCTTGCATGCGACTTGTGTGAGTCCAAACGTGCAGATAATAACAGCATGTGTGAGCGCCCGGGCCCGGCACTCACTTCCTCCCCGATGCGATGAATCGGTCATACTCCACGGCCATCTTACAGGACAGCGCCTGGCGGCTATGCGCAGCTGAGCAGTTGGTGTTGACCACGTTGTCTGTGGGCCAGGGAGGTGTGAGTGGGCCTCAGGGTCACAGCAGGGGTTCCTGCCCCACGCCCCCACCCCAGGGGTTGCCACCCAGTTCATTCAGCCAGCCTTTCCCAGCACCCACCACCTGTCCAACCTCAGAACTCAACGGAGCCCTCACTGAAAAAGGGCTTCATTTTCATGGGAACTGGGGGGAGTGGTCGGGCAGGACACCGAGCCAAGCCCTGAGTGAAGGTCCTCCTGGCGGCTGGGGGGCGGCCTCAGTGGGGGCTCACCTGTGTGTCTGGCCAGTGCCTTGTCCTCCCCGTCGGTGAAGATGAACGTCTGTAGGGAGACACAGAGCCTTGGGTGGCACCCTGAACGCCCACTGTGGTGTCACTAGCCCACCCTTCCCTGCCTCAGCATCCCCACGTGATCACGACGAGCAAACTGGGTGTGTGTGTGGGGCTACCTGTGCCCACCCACCCTCAGAAGGCCAGGCGGGGCCTCGCCGGGCTCCCCCAGCCCTGTCCCCGACAGCTGGCTCCAAGGTCGCCCAGGCAGCTGCACCCACAGGAGCCAGGTGGGGCGCCTCCCTCCACCACCACCACCCTCACCAGGTAGCATGCGCACCTGGTGGGCACACACCCTTATTGACACAGCGCCCTGCCCGGAGGCAGGCTGGGGGAGGGCTCCGGGGGGGACATGCAGAGGGCGGGGGCTGGGCTTTGGGAAGCCAGGGCTTAATGACTGGGGACAAAGGGCTTTGCTGGAAGACCGCCAAGCAGAGCAGACAAAGGGATGCAGTCGGATGGATCACCAGGCTGGCCGGCTTTGTCCAGCGGCCTTAATGCAGCCGAGTTAAGCGGGAGTGGCCGGCTGGGCATTACCATACAGCTGGCCTGGTTAACCAGTCCCCGGCCACCAGCACTGCCCTGTGCCTCCGGCGACGTGGCCAGCAGCAGGTCCCCCTCTCTGAGTCCCACGGGCCAGGGCTGTTCTTTGGTAATGCCAGCAGTCAGAAGGGCGAGGGGACTGCACGCTCCCCCAGCCCACACCCCTCTGCAGCACAGCACAGAACCCAACCTCCCCCAAGTCCAGATCCGGGCTCCACCTGTGCCAGCTCCCGGCCACCTCTGCCAGGCTCCCTTCACGGCAGAGGCCAGGGGGGCGGGGCCAGGAGTTGCCGGCGCCCGCCTGGGCCCGTCTGCACCGGGACAGGAATGTTCTTCCTCTGCCCGCCCGCCCAGCGCGTGCCGCCTGGCCCGCCCTGGCATGGCTGGGCCGGAGGCGGGGGCGGCTCTGAGCCAGGACGGCAGCCACTTGCAGCACCCTACGCCTGCCGGGCCTCAGTTTCCCCCCAAGGGAGACCCTCTGGGGCAGCTCCAGCCCCTGACCCCTGCAGACCCCAGACTGTGGATACAGGGTCTGGAGCCCAGGGGGTGTCAGGCTTGCCCTGCACTGTCTCCACGCACACCTCCCCCCACCCACCATCCGGGCAGACACCCCAAGGCGGCCGCACGCACAGACTCGCAGGCAGCCCCCCGCCCGCGCCCGCCATCAGCCCAGGAATGCCGTGGGAGGCGAGGCGGGAGGAGCAGACGCACCGCGGGATGAAAAGGAGAATGCTTGCTTAATGAGATCAAGCCCGGCCTGTTCCCTGCGCTTGGAGGTGCCCTCAAGACCCAGCCCAGGGCCACGGAGATTAAAGTCACCTTTGTTCTTAGCAACCGCGGGGAGGCTGCCAGGAGACAGGCACCCGGCAGCAAAGGGCGGGCGGGCTGGCGGGCGGGCGGGGCCCGGGTCCCCCAGCCAGAACCGCCCTGCCATCTCCTCTGCAGAGTGGGCGCAGCAGGCCCTCCTGAGTGCCTGCACCCAGGTCCCCTCTGTTCTAGGCAACCTCCAGACAACTATCCAAAGAGGGAAACTGAGGCACCAGTCCTAAGCCAGGTCAGCCCCCTTCCTTCTGGGGCCGAAGACCCTCAGCCCCACCCTGCCCCCACCCACTTCCCCGACGGTCTGGGGGAGGAAGAACAGGGGGCACGGGCACGGACTGGCCAGGGCGGTTGGTGCGCAGGAGGGGGGCGGGGGGACACCCACAGGAAGCGGCATTGTTCCTGGAGCAGCGATTCAAAGAAGCACAGGATGCCAAGCTCCCAGCCCCCGCCTCCCCCATTGTGGCTGCAGAGGGAGGTGGCAGCCACGAAGCCCGAGCCGGCTGGCTGCCCCTGGAAGGGGGCGGGGACTGTCTGTGGGCCAGAGTGGCCCTGCCAGCCCCCTCCCCTGCTTCACTGCGGATGGAAGCCCCCCTGAACAGCCTGCAGCCCCACCATGCCCTTTCTGGACAATTTTGGTTCTATGCAGCTGGGGTGGCACCTCCTCCAGGGAGCTCTCCCGGGGTTAGATGCCCACCCTGGGTTCACACCCTCTCAGGCCTCCTCTTTGCCTCTCCCCTCAGACTCGGGTCTGAGTCACCACGGGGGTGGGGGTGGGGAGGGGTCCTGAGGGTTGGCTCCTTAGCAGGAACAGCTAGCTTCAAGGGCCCCTTCCCACATCACCCCAAGAGGGGCTCTTGTTTGCTGCGCACACGGGACCTGAGGCTGGGGGCAGAGTCAGCCTCCTGTGAGAGAGAACTATGGGGCCTCAGGGTCTAGGGGTGATGGCCCCTCCCCCAGGCTATGCCAGGTCTTCGTGGGTCTCACCCCCTGGAACAGGCCATGTCAGAGGGAGAGGCAGAGGGTCAGGGATGCCCAGGGCAGAGGGCTTTCCCCAGAAGCCCCAGGCCAGCAGCAATGGCACGCAAGATCCTCTTGACCACAACCCTTCAGTCCCTGAAGTGCCGGAGTGCAGGGCCACACAGGGGACTGGACGCTGTCCAAGGTCACCCAGTGGGGAGGTCACGCACTGGGGAGAGCGGCGGCTTGGTTCAGGAACAGGGCCCCTCAGGGCTGTCACTCAGGGAAGGGGGGGTGCAGGCCCCTCATCTCCAGGCAACCTGAGTGGATGGCGGTTCCCATGGAGGAAGCTCTGCACTCAGAGGCCGGTCTCTGGAGAAAGGGGCTTTGTTACCCAACCCAAGGGGTCCGCGCTGTGAGAGCCAGCGGCTGGCGCTGAGAACCCTAACGGCCCAGCACTAAACAAAACCCGTGGTCGGCCCCGCCCGCCGGGCCCCTGGGAAGGGGCTGCCGTGTTCCCAGGATGGGTGCCCTGAGAATCCCAGGCCCCCAGAAGAGCCAGGATCCTGCCCTCAAATTCAACCTAGCGGGGGGTGGGGGGGTGTCGCCCCTGATCCTTCCAGTCCCACCTCCCATCCACAGTCCCCCACACTCATCCCAAATGGCCAGCCAGTCTCCAGGGCCTCAAAGCCCAGGGTGCTGTCCACTGCCCTGCCTCGCAAGGCTCACGCTCGCCCAGGCCCGCCCCTCGCGCTCAAACGGCCCGTTGCAGCCCCAAGGCCCATTTTCAAAGCGGGGCGTGCCCTTGTGATATGTGTGCAAAATCCTGCTTGGAGGGAAACTGCAGCGTTGGGGTGCCTGCAAAGGGGGACCCCAAAGCTCAGTGCCTTCTATTTTCAGGTGTGTGCCCCCAACACCCCTAAAACACCCAGCTTCAGATGAGCTTCAGCTGTGGCTTGTCCGCCCCTCCGAGCAGACTGAAGAGAGAGTAGTGGGCTCTTTGGCCCCCGGTTCACCCACCCCTAAGAAAGAGCGGGAGCCTGGGGTGGGGACAGTGACTCCGTGGTGCCACACTGAGACTTGGAGACGATCGCACCCCATTAATGCGCGCCACTGTTTGGGGACTGCCTGGAGCGTATGGGGGGGTTGGGGGGAACATGCGCTCGCCCAGCCAGCTGTGGCCCAGCATCACTGTGCCCCCTCCCAACACGCGCGCACCGCGAAACCTTTCCCGATGGCGGGACCGGGCGCATGGCCCCCACGGGGCACTGTCCATAGCCGGCGGGCGACGCGTCCCAGCCGGAGCCCCGGCCGCGCTCACCATCTCCTTGTGGCGCGAGACCCAGGTCTCCAGCAGCAGGTCAAGGCGCGCGCGGTGGAAGTTTTTGGTGGTCTTGACAGCGATGAAGACGTCTTCGGGGCCCAGCGGCTCAGCCGGGGCTCGCGGCGCGCCGTC